GCTGCTGTGTAAGTATTTCATTGACAGCCTGACAGATTCTGAGTGTTTGCTATTGGGTATCAATACCTTCACTAGATCAGACCTAATTTGCATAACAGCAGAATGATTTGCACATTGCAGAAACGAAGAACATGGACATTAATTTTAGTCTAATGTTTTTGTTTTTCTTTTCACATTCAACTTAATTTGTTGCCATCTGGTAACGTTTCAGGTACATAAATGTTACACCAATTTGGCTATCATCTGGTACATCAATTTCACATTTATTCATAAGATTCTGATTAGACATAAAATATAAAATGTTATATTTTGAAGTTCTTCTGTACATGTTTATAAATATATACGTAGCCCAATATGTGATAGCCCATTTGACTCATATAAAAGTGAATCATGTTATTTTTTATTTTTCTCTCTGTTTATTTTACTTAAATCTATGTCTGTAAAATCTTGCCAGGTCATTGCATCCTTTGTGGTACGTTTTATTTATTTTACTTTAGTTTGACATTTACAATAGATTTAGAATAACAATCTATATCCACATATTAAATACAGTATGTGATATTCTCTTTTTTAACATTTATGAGTGGATCATTTATCTATTTTACTTATTAGATTTCGTCGTGTTCCACGGTTGCCTTCCTGCTGTTAAGGGTGGCCAACAGCATCTTCATTTCAAGGTAATTTATATTCATGTTCACGGGTCAACAAATGTGTACAAAATACTAGTCATTTCTTTTCTTTTCTTTTAGGTGACATTTCTGCTTTGAGTGTCAAGGTAAGTATCCCTTCAAACTTAGTGATTAATGGTAATCAGAGTCATTAGTTATTTCTTTATAATATCTGTAGTATTCTGTCTGCATGGGTCTTTCTCAACAAGATTTCGTTAGAAAATGTTGTTACTACAACATAATGCAGTATTGTGGGACAGCAGACACATCTAGATAGTAACTTTTTATTGTTTTATTCTCCTTAGTTGATTGGCTTGTTGATGTAAGACAATTTGTCAGATTTATCAGTTTGTAAGGGCTAATCCACAGCTAGAAACAATGATTTAACTGTTAATGAAAAAGGTTTCCACCTTCAATTGGTAAGTAACCCACTTGCATATAATGTTAGTTTGAACAATGACTAGTGATTTTTGTATTGACTGTTGTTATTTATGTAAATGATACTTGCCATTTTGCATTTAACAAAGTAACTGACTTGATTTCTTTCTGTGTTTGTCTGTCTGACCTGTCCTATACTTTCCTCTCCATAACTTTATATCATTCACTCAAATCTTTATCTTGCTTACTAATTGAAAAAAAAAATGCCTCTTCCATTCTTTCTCTTCCAAAACTCATAACTGGCCTGCAAATGCTGCCGCATTGCTTGCTGCTTGCTTGCTCGCACTATGAACTGCAATATGCAAACTCACATCTGCTTCTAACCCTTATGCACCTATGCTTAGCTTGCCAACGCATCTAAAAAAAAAATAGCCCAGTACCCATGATTTTGATCTATGATCATCAATGATATTTCTTGATATACCTTGATACTCATTTACATACTCAATACCACAAAGATTTACACCCATACTCAATACCACAAAGATTTACACCCATACTCACACCTAGAAAAATCACCATTTCCGGTAAGAAAACTGTGCTGCATCTTCAGAAATAGTAAGAGAGAGAAAAAAAATCATTTGATGATCATTTAATTTACTGTTGATTTTATACTGTTGATATTTTATATTTACTGTTGATTATTTATTTTACTGTTGATTTACATTTAATTTACTAATTTACTGTTTAAATCATTTAATTTACTGTTGTTAAATATCAACTGTTGTATTACTGTCGCTGTATATACAGTATATAGTCTTGTTATATATAAAATATTTAACTTTTCTGTGTGTCTAATCGCATAAAAGACATCTTTGTGTTCTTTTTCAAGTAACATTTTTTTGAATCCATTCCTCAAACATATTTACAGTGCTGAAACATCAAGATGCCACGAAAAGGAAAGCGAAGTCAATCTCAGAAACAGCGCAGAAACCTAGAAGCTTCGTGTGGCAACAGTAGCGGCACCAGTAGCAGTACCAACTCTGTATCAGGTATGATCGATGCAAACCCTTGTGTTCTGTCTGTTGCAGCATCACACTGTCAAAGCAATCCCAGGTACAAGATTTACTCCAGAGGCCGTCAGTGTACTTGCAATGCCTTAATGTTCCTAGCTTTCCATACTGAACGTAATGAGCTACTCGGTTTTGATTTAGACCGCATTTTACAGAAAGGTGATGCAGTTTACACTAGTGTCAAACGAACACTGCGGAGCAAAGGACAATTTGTGCTTGATCATTTAAACTTTGATGAGCTGCCAAACACAGTTAAGACCAATTCAGCCTGCTACAACATCCTGAAACATCCCGAGAGAGTTGGTCTTCTAAAAGATACACCTGAGCTAGGCGGGTATGAAAACCTCGAGAATACTCTGCAGTGCCTCAGAGCTGATGTGAGTGACGCGTTGCTGCTGTGTGGATGCACATGTATCGCCGTATTCAGAGATCGCTCAGGGAGGTTTGGTTATTTTGATCCTCACTCCAGAACAGCATATGGAATGCCTGAAGAAAATGCAATCACCGGTACGGCCGTGATGTTGACCTTCTTTCGTTTAGAAGACCTGATCGAGAGGCTCATGCTATTGTTTCAATGGTGTTTTGATTTGACAGACCAGCAACAATTTAATCTGCTGCCTGTATCATTCTTTAACCGGATAACCGAAAGCAGTGTACGTCCTGAAGTCTCCCTGAAATGTTGTGAGCTTGAACGTGATGTACAGCCATCTGTCTTTTTGGAGAACAAAGCTCTGTCAAACAGTGAACAATGCAGGTCTGCTGACGTCTCACAACAGTCTGTCCAAGATCCAGTTCAACAACCATCTGAGACTACCGTTAATGGAGCCACATCAACTAATGATCAAGCGCACTTGACTTGTCAAGATAAAATTGACATTCTATCTACCGTCACTCAGAATCTGTCACAGGATCAATTATCATTGTCAGCTCGAAATTACCAACATTCACAATCAACAATCAACCAGACAGAAAAACTGAACAAGACTCGGAAGCGAAAGGCTTACTGCAAAAAATGGCATAAAGAAATGGTTCAGAGACAAGGTGTTAATGACAAAAAACAGGCTGTACGCAAAGTCTATGATTATAAAAGAAGCAGTGAATACAGGCAAAGACATAACCAAGCCATGAAGAACAAGTATTGGAATAGTACGTTTTACAGGGATGAACACAAACAAACAATGAGAAATAAATATAGAAATATTAATGAATTCAGACAGAGAAGAAAGGCTTATGCAATTAGCAAGTACAGAAATAATGAACAGTACAGAGGGGGAAAAAAGAGTAAAATAACCTTAAATTACAGAAAAGATGAACAATTCAGGGAGAAACAAAAGACTTACATAATTCTAAATTACAGGAAAGACGAACAATTCAGGGAGAAACAAAAGACTTATATAACTCAAAATTACAGGAACAATGAACAATTCAGGGAGAAACAAAAGAACTATAATTTGAGTAATTATAGGAACAATGTTAAATATAAGGAACAGCATAGGCAATATCTTGTTGATAGATATTTAAAGGATCCAATTTTTAGGCAAAGGCAAATGGGTCATTATACAAACCGATGCAGAAATGATCCTAACTTCTATGAAAAAAGGAAGAACGTTTTCAAACAACGTTACCACTGTGATGTACATTTTAAGGCTCGTCAGAAAGAATATAATTTGTTCAAATCTAAAAACAAAATATCTGCACTCAAGATACTTCACAAAGTACACTGTGCACAAGACATACAGCGCAAATATAAAAACATGTATCTGATGCGCCATCAGAGAGACACGTTACAAAATACCCAGCCTGACGTAGTACAAGATCCGACTGTGTTAAGAGCCTTAAATGTTTTCAGAGACGTTATAAAACAGGGACCAACTTATGTGTGCACATGCTGTGCCAGAGCGCTCTTCTCAAATCAAGTGAAATCATGTGATCGTGAGCGCTATCAGAAGAATCCGACAGTTGCTTCCACTGCATGAAAAGTGGGATTTTCGTCAGTAAGCGGCACTGTAGATTGTCGTGGAAGTTCAGGTTTACGACTGCACACGGCAATTTACAGGTAACACTCAAAACTGCTGTGAATTGCCGGAAATTGACGTGGGCCTTGCTTGGCAGTTGTCCCCCCATTGTCCCCCCTTCTCCTAAATCTAGAGGAGGCTTTGACATGTAAATGAAAATGCTGTGAGCTATACACATGCAAATAAGGGTAGGGGAGTTTCACCCCAGGTAACATTTTTCTGAAAGGTATAACTTCATTCTAAGACAAGATCAGGCTCAGTATAACCTAATTGCTGTGTTTTTTTTTGTTTTTTGTTTTTTTAACATTGCACATAATGCACAACAATTACAACAATAACATGACATCCAAAAAGATAACAATCAACAAATAATAATTTCACAATAAATAAGAAACAAATAAAAATAGGACAGAATTGAACAAATGAAATAAAAACAGGAAAGGGACTATCTCTATTGTGTATAATATTATGATTTAAGAGAAAGTTAGAAACCAGTAATTTGTGCTATTTAAAGAAAGAAAATTAGCTTCAATTAGCTTCAATATTCTTTAGCAAATACAATTGTATCACTACATTTTTATCGATACATTTGAGAGACAGAATATACTGAAAACTAAAAATTAGACCAAAAAAAAAAAAAACTTCAAACAAGGTTTAGAATTATTCATTTTACTCTTATAAATATGACATTTTCCTAATAAAATTATAAGATTCATCATAACATTTAAGGAAGCAGTTTTCAAAATATATGATAACATCTTTGATGTTAATTCACAGTTATAAACAGATGTTTTTTGTTTTTGTTTTTTACAATTTTTTTGACTGGTTTATTTAATTTAAGTAACCTAATAAAGTTATTTATTTATGCATATATGTATTTTTACATTTCATGGTAGCCTATTTAGGTATATCCACCTTATTCCTAATTTAAAATGAACTAACAGCAGCAGAAAAGTCAAAGGACAGCCGACGACAGCCTTTCAACCTGAGTCAAAAACCAGTGAACGTAACTCTGATTGGCTGAGGCAGCATATCGTCATAATCCAACCTGTAACGTCAGCCACTCTGATTGGCGGAGGCAACGTGCCAGGCATGTGGCGTGTTTTTTTAAGCAGAAAGTAACTACACAGATATTCAGCCTGCTTCGCCGTCATGATCGCTGGGGAACCCATCTTTTCCTCTAAATTGAAGGTAAGTTCGTCCAGCTTAGTGAATTCTATGTCCATGTCTACTTATAGTTTTTGGTAGTTTAGCGTTTTTGTCTTAAACTTCACAAATCGGCTGTGATTACTGCCGCGAATGTCCAAGGGTGTTAACCTAACGGAACAGTTTTTTGTTTTGCGTTAGCTTGCTGCTCTTAATTCTTTTTTTTGTTTCATTTCAATTTGAACAAATTTGGGACACTAAACTGTACGTTGGGTTGCACGTTGTTATCTGGCTGCAAGTTAGCTACCATTCTTTGATAGTAATCAAACTAACTCGTTTACTCTGAATATCGTCAGAAATTATGAAAAAATAATAAGTGCCAGGGTCCTAAAACAAAGCGCGTAATGTGCTTGTATGCTCTAGTGTAGGCTATCCTTGTTTGTAAAATTGCATCACTTTGTGTGATGAGTGAAATCTTCAGATGTTTGTGATTTGTTTTGTCTCTCAGGGGCTGTTAGGAGTGAGGTGTCCTTCGCTGATGGGAGAAAAAAACACCTAAATAAGGTAACGTTACGTGTTGTGATCTCATCCTCTTTTCTTTTGAACAGACCCCAGTCAAATAAAAAGTAAAACTAAACTAATTTGGATTAACGTCTGTGTTTATAGATGACTTTGAGCGTGAGACAGTGGTGAAAACGCCAAAGAGAACTGGAACATGGCATGTTATATTCAGTTATAAATGTTTGACCAAGTTTTTAAATATCTTATAAATCTGTTCAGTTTCATCATTTGATAATAACTTTTAAAACACATTTTTTTGTGGTATAGATGCAGTGACTGAGACTGGGAGATGCAGTGACTGAAACCTGGTGGTAAGTGTTGATCTATTGGCAGTGGAGAAGACACTTTTAATAGACACCTTCTCTCTTGTGAGCTAGCAAACTTTGTTATTCTAATTAGAGCATTGTAAACATCACCAAATGTGTTCGTTTATTTCAGTGTTCCAGAAAAAGGTCCTGAAACTACTGGTCGACATCCGCCATCGCCTGAAGGAAACCAGGTAGTGGATGCAGAAGAAACATATTTTTGCTTACAAATGTGGGGACTTGGGGCAGATTGCCTTTGCATACATCTAAATCATTTGTCTTTTTCAACTTTGCAGAAGGGGTCGTGAAATTCGGTTCCACAGCCACTGAGGTGTATGTACATCAAGGTGAACCTCAAGCACGCGTCGCAAAGACTTAAATTCACTTCGCCCTGATGAGCCAAGCCTACAGGACTTGAATTAAGAGTTTTAAAGGGATAGTTCACTTTGAAATTATTTTTTGAAATGTTTTGGCTTACGTCAAGGGCATCAGTCAGTCATATAATGGAAGTCTATGGGGATCTCTTAAAAGAGCATGCACAGAGAAGTACAAATTAAACATGATTTAATGAATCATAACTGTAAGTACACCTTGATGGCTTAAGATACGAGACGAGCGGTTTGTGTGAGAAAATGAACAGTGTGTGTGTGTGTGTGTATATATATATATGATCTGCGCATGCGGTGGAAACCGCCAGAAGCGATCTTGCACTGGTACGTCACTCATTGTTTACACAGATTTCGGAAGTTTTACTGTGAAGATCTAAACATATTAAGATGTATTGCATTTTGTGTATATCTAAATATATATATATACACACACACACACACACACACACATTTATACAATATAAATACTGTTTGTTTTCTTTCCCAAAACGCTCATTTCGTGTCTTAGTCAATCATTGTGTACTTAATTTATGAGTCATTAAATCATGTTTAATTTGGTCTTCTTTGTGCATGCTCTTTGAGGTGGTGACCATAGACCTGCATTATATGACTGACAGACAACAACAGTTTGACCTAAAAATATCAAAATTGAAAATACTGTGGAAACAAAACCACCTGCATCTTGGATGCCCTTGAGATAAGATAAAACATATCAAAAATTTATTTCAAAGTGAACCATACCTTTAAATTACATCCTTATTATTCGTTCATAATTCTGGCTCCACTGTACATTGTGTTTGATATATCTGGTGCCCAATTCTGATGCCATTCAGGGCAATTTATTTTTGAATAGAGATGCAATATATTATTGATTTATTTGTATAACTGTAGTGCTGTATGTATGTATGTTGTCCCATGTTTCCAGAGGGTGGAGGACATGTTTTCTGTGCTTTGAAAGATGTTCTCCTATGCTGTGTACATAGTTTTGTGTTTGTTCTAATAAAGCTATTTCTTTGAATAAACAGTATGTGGCAAATGTTCCTTTCCTCAATAAATTCATGTCCTTGATGGTAATAATAATTTAGTCCATAGGATAACAATGACATGAATAAACAACATAATAGCATATCATATGAATATGAATATATATATATATGATTATTATTATTATAATTTTATGTCGGCTGACCAATAGTAACAGATCTGCCAACCAATCACGAGTGATTTTCTTGTTTAAATGTAGTGAATTTCAACCAATACTGAGTGAGGAAATTCAAGCCATTCTCTGGCAAGGCGCGCGCAGTGCTGCTATTCATATGCTAATTAGGGCCATTCGCACCTCCGCGAGCGCTGCATGCATACGTCATGGTTCGTTTCCGTCAATATGTGGCACAGTGGAACGCGACGTTCACAGTCTGTAAATTGTCGTTAACTGCCGAAAATTAGGGAGATTTCCGGCAGTTTACGGGGACGAAAATCCCACTTTTCATGCAGTGTTCAGTTTGCTTGACTGGAAACTATGTTCACGTCTGCTCCGACTGCCCTGATCAGTGTGCCCTCGATCACAGGAAAACAGAGTGGATCTGTCACTGCTGCCATAATACACTTGTGAGAGGTCTGATGCCAGACATTGCTTTGGCCAATCAACTTCAGTTCGCTGTCATTCCTCCAGAACTCTGTGATTTGAATGTTCTTGAAAGACACGTTATTGCAAAGTACATTCCTTTTGCTAAGATTGTTACTCTACCGAAAGGCCAGCAAAGAGCTATAAAAGGTGCTGTGATTTCTGTTGCATCTGAAGTAGAAACAACAGTGAACTCTTTACCCAGACCAAGAAGTGAATCACAACTGCTAACAGTGAAACTGAAGAGACGTCTGTTACCAAGGTCACTATCAGTTTCAGACTTTGAACATGCAAAAGGTTTTGTCTGCTTTAAGAAAGCTAAAAGATATCCATTCAGAATATAAAGATATCTTAATTAATGCAGAACTCTCTGAAGAAGAAATGTTTAATGAGCATGAACAGAGTGCAAATGACATCAGTGCTCCAGATGAGGAAATGGAAATTGAGAACACTGAAGAACAGAGCAATGAGAATGAACACGATGATGCAAACGAAGACACTACTTCAGAACAGCAATCGAGAGGCCTTGCCTTGGACACGTCTTCAGCCCCCAGATCTCGGCCAGCAACTGTTGTCTTATGATGATGGAGTATTTTGCATTGCCCCAGCAGAGAAAAACACTCCTGTAAACACTTTCAAAGTTCCTAAACTCGAGTCTATGGCGTTTCCAGTGCAGTTTCCCGATGGCAAGAACACCTTTGATGAGCCTGGTAGAGCAAAACATGTTTCCCCAGCAGATACTTTAACTCTAGACTATTCTCTATCGACAATCGTTGTGCGAAGGATACCAACTATATCTTCTTTGCGCAGTTTGTGACTGAAATGCACATGGCCACATCTAGTATGTCTATCCAGATGAGGAAAGCAAAACCCATGACCCGTGATGGACGCAGAATAAACTGTTCACTGCTGCAGGACAAGCATGAGTTAGAAAAGCTTGTAATAAACAAGGAAGCTACGCGATTCATGCAACCATTAAGAGGAACTCCAGCATACTGGGAGAAATCTCTCCATGATCTGTTTGCTATGCTGAGACAACTGGGCACTCCAACATTTTTCTGTACGTTTAGTGCTGCTGAGATGAGATGGCCTGATGTGATTACTGCTATTAAAGCACAACAAGGTGAAACTGTGAACTTCGCTGAATTAGACTGGTCTGAAAAATGTGAAATCCTCAGGAGCAACCCTGTCACAGCCATGCGGATGTTTGAAAAACGAGTTGAAGCCTTGATGAGAGATTTGATCAATTCACCTGCTCGACCCATCGGTGAGGTAATTGACTTCTTTTACAGAGTAGAGTTCCAGCTACGTGGCTCTCCACACATTCACTGCTTATTTTGGGTGAAAGATGCTCCAGAGTTTGAAAAAGATGAAGATCAGGATGTGTGTGATTTCATTGATAAATATATCTCATGCAAATTACAAGACCCAGACAAAGACCCAGAGCTACATAAAATTGTAAGTGAAGTGCAGATGCACAGTCGTAACCACTCAAAATCCTGTAGAAAGAACAAGAAGCACTGCCGGTTTGGATTTCCTAAACCACCCATTAACAGGACCATGATATCCCGGCCCAGGCCTCCTCCTGCAGATCAGTCTGATGAAGAGAACAAATCAGAGGAAAGACATGATGCCAGTTTCGCAAAAGAACAGCTACAGAAGGTGTGGGATCTACTGAATGACTCAACTCAGAGCTTTGATAGCGTTACACAGCTACTTCATACTGTAAACATGACTTATGAAGAGTACGAGAAACATATTGATACTATTTCTACATCAAGTTCAATATTTATGGAGAGACGACCACAGGACTGCTGGGTAAATGGCTATAATCCAATGCTGTTAAGAGCCTGGGATGCAAACATGGACATACAGTTCATTCTCAACCCTTACAGCTGTATCATGTATATTGTCTCATACATTTCAAAAGCTGAGCATGAGATGAGCGATTACCTTAAGAAAGTGATAAAAGACTCAAGCCATGATAACCTGACTGAACGTGAGTGCATGAAGCAGGTCATGAATGCCTACTCAAAGAACAGAGAAGTCAGTGCTCAGGAGGCAGTCGCTCGCACAGTCTGAAATTAAAATCATCATCAAGAGCTGTCATATTCATTCCTACTGATGACAACGCTGTAAAGATGAGTTTACCGATGAGCTGCTTGCAGACTATGGATGATGACATAGAGAATGTGTGGATGACAGGATTGCCTGACAAGTACAAGGCCAGACCAAACAGACCTGAATTGAGAACATGTGCATGGCTGAATTTGCAAGTGAATACCGCATTGTTTATGCACGACAGAAAAAAGGTAAAAATGTTTTGCCACTTCAAAAAAACTTGGGACATATACAAAAAAGAACAAGAGGAAAACCTGCTGTCATCAGATTTGCCCGTTTTTCACAGCAGAAAAACCCAGAAAAATTCTTTTGGAACTCTTCTAAAGCTTTACTTGCCGTATCGCTCAGATGAGCAGCTGAAGTCAGCCAGATTCCAGACATACGAATCATTTTATGCGTTTGCTTCAGTAAAACTACCAGGAACTGATGAACTGCAGCGTGTGTGCAATATTGTAAACAAAAACCGTGAGAAATATGAAAAGCATAATGAGGCTATTGAACAGGCAATTGAGGATTTTTAACAGAATGGTCCAGTTGAAGATGCATGGTCTACTTTGGCTCCAGCAAATGAGATGGTCCGTTTGGAGAGCATATCAGAACGTGAACCCACTGATCCTAATGATGTGAACGAGCAGGACGATGTTCCTGAATACACAGCATCTACCTCTGTCAGTAACACAGCTATGCCACTCGTGGAATCTACCCAACAAAATCATGCACAGA